AAATGCACATGGTGAGCTCCACGGTTACCATTTTGATCATCGCGGAATTACAGCAAAGGGTAAAGCGCCAAACAAACCTTCAGAAACTCAACCATCATCCCCTGGAGGCAAGGGATGTGATTCCAGTAACCCCGTAGAAGACACAGTTCAACCGGCCTATAACAAATCATTTACTTCCGTTGAAGCCACCGTCACTACGGAGGCAGAAAGCGAAAAGACACAACAGCGTAATGGGTCTTTTTCAGAAGATCACACCTTCCTCATTCACACGCAGGAAGTGCAGACCGATTACACCGCACCTACCACGAAAGAGAAAAGGTTTGTTTGCCGATACTGTAGCAAGAAATTTGCGCATTTTTCCACTCTCCAAAATCACCTCCGCACACACACAGGTGATAAACCTTTTCAGTGCAACTTCTGTGGTCGCAGATTTGCCCAGTCAGGAGTCCTAAAGGCGCACCTACGAACGCATACTGGCGATAAACCGTTCGCCTGCATGTACTGTGGAAAAGTGTTTGCGCAAAGCACGACGCTAACAAACCACTTGAGAACGCACACAGGCCACAAGCCCTACATTTGTAATTATTGTGGCAAATCATTCTCTCAGCCTTCCACGCTCAGGAAGCATGAACTTTCTCACACAAAAGAACGGCCGTATCCGTGTAAATTCTGTGGAAAGGCTTTTGCCCAGCAATCGACGTTGACCAACCATATGCGTTCTCACACTGGACAGCGGCCGTACAAGTGTCACTTTTGCGACAAGAGCTTTGCTCAGTTGAGTACACTGGACCGTCACTTGCGCCTCCACTCAAGTGTGAGTCTCAAGCCACATCAATGCCAATACTGCAGTAAGAGTTTTAGTTATATTTCCAATCTGGCCTCTCATATGCGGAATCACGAACAGGAGTTAGAGTCTTGTAAATGAAAGGGTCACCCCTCCATTCCAAAGCCCTCGCTTGGATGGCTTTCCTTCCAGCAGCGGTTTTCCATAGTAGCCTCCTAGTACACATATCTAAAAAGACTGTGGTGAGCAAAATAAGCTATTTCTTATAATAATCAAATCCTGAACCTCTCGAGAGTTCTCTCATATGAGACACCTTTGTTCTTTAAGCCTCATCTGTATAGTATGATGATATCAACAGTGCGTTGCCTTAGTTTTAGGTACCTTATTTAATCCTCCTTCAATCTTGAGACTGGAATCTTTAGTTAAACCTCAACAGGACAATCTTATTGTCAATATTAAAGAACTTAGTTTTGCAATAGCTGACAAATTAGTCTTCAGAGTCCCCCTCTATTACCAATCATGTAGATTAACTTTTTGCTCCCAGTAGTTCTGTAAGGACGATGATTGACAGGTCTTATGTCCACTTTGTAGACTTCTTTTTGGGTCTTTTTCTTATACAAAAGGCCTATTGATGCCCGGAAAAATTGCTTCATTGGAAATGTCTTATAAGATCTACGCCAAGGCTTTCTTTGTTGACGAGATTTGCTACGAGACAATTTGAAATTATCGGACGATAAGATGCAAAAAATCAACCTGGATTACTCAACATTAATCTTTTTTATCTTTTTTTATTCAACGAGGAACTTGTTTAAATTGTGCTGCAAATCTGTTTTCAGGATACCATTGTTCATCAACTGAAAAATTAATATTACATTGTCAAATATTGTTTCGAAACCTATTTAATTTGCTATGGTCAATTTTGCTGATACCCCGAAAAAAATATCGACTTCGGATGAAAATGTTTTAAGGTTCCTAATTTGCAAGCAGAGAAAATATGTAGAGTGACATATCCTTTATCATTTAACAGTTCATAGGAAGAAAATATTTTTTTTAGTGTTCGTTAACTAATGAACACTTCAGATATTTAATATACTGGGCAACAAAGCAAAAAATTATGTTATCTGCGCAACAAGATGGTTTCAAAATATTGTACAGTTTCTGTTTTGCTGACATATTTCTGCAGCAGTAATAATACTAAGTTGATAACGAGAATATCCGATAGGTATTCGAAGTTAATTGCACAAACTACAAATAGAGCAAACATTGAGGAATATGCGTTTGTAAAGTCGAGTTAATGACACAATCCTTGCCGCAGCATTTTTGAAGGACGGCATTTTTTTTTAACTTCGGTACAATAATGGTCATGATCTTTATAATTAACCTAAGGTTATCAAAGATTTGTTTAGAGAAGTTAAATCACGTCGAGATCAAGATGTGCTATGCTTACGGGATTGACAAAATTAATGAGGTTCACCCTTCAACATTAGGTGTCCTCTCTGAAAAAAAATTATGCTGAAAGACGCCTCATTAAGCAATATATGAAATAAGCGAAAATCCAATCGCATATGATTTACCTGGTGAAGAACTGCTGAGAGTTGCGACATTCAATCCTGAGAAAAATCGAAAGGATATAAATATGAAGAATCAAGTATAACAAGTCAGACTTGTTACACTTTGAAAAAAGTTTATTTAAATTAAGCAGTCTCGATTTGGACTATAAACTAAATTTGCTAACAGATGTTTAGAATAACAAAGATTTAGAGGACCTTTTATTTTAGATATTAAGAATAGTATATTAGAGAGGCATTTTTCTTTGTATTTTCGTTTTAAAAAGTATGTATAGCTGTTGATGGCTTTTTATCTCTTTATATGAATAATGAAGGTATTTAATATAGTAAGCTTGGGCCCAGATTGCTTTGTTTCCTTTTTGATTAGGTACATGATCGTGTTGTTTTGCAACATGCGAAGACGAAATAAAATGTAACTGCATGGCCGATCTTGCGTTGTTAAATCACAGCACGAGAAAGGGGCCCAAAGAGTAAAAAAATAGAATGAAGGGAAGGAAAAGAAGACGGGGGGAGTTGCAAAAGGGTCACGAATTTATTTAAAAAATTACCGAAGGGATAATGAAGCTTCTAAGAGAATCCACTCATATTCTGGGTCCGATTAAAACCAATTCAACCAAGGGCGTGGCTAACGAGGGGAGACTAAGGGTGCGCTAGTGATCCCCTATTTCTTCACCTGAAATAGTAATAAGTTGTTGTGCTCAAACAACCTGGCATTCTCCCAAATAGATAATACGCCAATGAAGCCCCCTTCCCGTCCCCCATCTCCTCTCCCCCTCCCCTCCTCTTCCACCATCCTCTCTCCCCCCCTCCACACGAGCTGGGGGATCCTGCTTATGCCGCTTCAACCGTTAAGTTCCGAAAGCAATGACTCCCCTTCAAGAAAAAACGGTAAAAAGGCTACAAATTTCAAGGTAACAATTCTTGCGAGCCCATCAATTGAGACAAGCGCGTAATTTGAACTATGCTATGACTGCTGTCGCGCAGAAGATCAAACCTGAAATTTTCCATAAAATGGCGGCTCAATGAAGGCGTTTCAGTCCTGCACGTAAGTTTGGAAATTACTAAAATCAGGAACGGGGAAAGGGGAAAACCCTTCAATTAAGACATTTATTGTCTGTACTGATTACTCCAATGACTGAGTTTGTAGAAAGCTTGTTAAAAACTTGCGCTCAGACATTTTCCGTGTAGTGAACTCAATTTCAAATTTTTATGCGAATAACTGCTGTACTTTCAATCCCAGACTCCCGTTCCCCGTTCTTCATTTTCGTTTTCTGTTCTATGGTCTTCGTTCTTCGTTCTCCATTCTCCACTCCCCGTTCTTCGCTTTTTGCTCTTCGCTTTTTGCTCTTCGCTCTTCGCTCTTCGCTCTCCGCTCTCCGCTCTCCGCTCTCCGCTCTCCGCTCTCCGCTCTCCGCTCTTTGCTCTTCGCTCTCCGTTCTCCGTTCTCCGTTATCTGTTCTCTATTCTCCGTTCTCCGTTCTCCGTTCTCTGTTCACCGTTTTCCGTTGCCCGTTGCCCGTTGCCCGTTGCCCGTTGCCCGTTGCCCGTTGCCCGTTGCCCGTTGCCCGTTGCCCGTCGCCCGTTCCCTGTTCTCCGTTCCTCGTTTCCCGTTCCCCGTCCCTCGTTCCTTGTTCTTCACTCCCTGCCCTTCGTTCCCTATTCCTATTTCCTGTTCCTTGTTTCTCGTTCTTGGTTTCCTCTCCTCAATTTCTCGTTACCCGCTCTTCGCTCCCCATTCCTATTTCTTCCGTTCCCTGTTCCTGGTTGTAGTGACGTCTGCTGGAAAACCATCGTAACATACTGATGGTTTAAAAGGATTATCGACAAACAAACAAAATATGACGAAAACTGGTTAAAACTAAAAGTGCCGTTTCGAAGAGATAGAGAGAAGGCTTAATGAATTGCGTGAGAACCGAAGAAACTTGTAATACCAGACCAGACAGATCGGAAAATCTTCTCTGTTTTTTTTTAAGTATTTTCCACTTAAAAGTAACAAAAGAACACTCCAGCCGCCGGCACTGTTATTGTTTAACATTATAGCGATTCCGCACTAAGCAATAAAATTGAAGCAAGCCGACAAAAATATTATGATTTGACGAGACCATTACTTGCATGTCAAAGTTCCTCCATCTACGTTGATTCGGCTTTTCAATTATGTTTTCTAGGCTGCGCGTGTTGTCCACATTCTCAATGAAAGCGCAATAAACTAAGAAACTAGTGTCGCCCATCATCATGAGCAAAATTATTTCATTTTGGTCACGAATTGTAGGCGGTGAACTAAGCAACAAATTTGAGGAAAAAAATTAACTACTGTGATCGAAACTTGATCGATGTCTACCCTCCTTGTGTGAATTGGAAAATTAAAAGTACCGACGCAAAATTGAAAATCTTCTTAATTTGTTGTTTGTCTTATCCACAAAAACCTTACTACTCCCATTTAAGTGCCGCTTTACATGTATGTCTGTCATTTTCTGTCAAACTTATGCTAGAGGTGAATAGAAAATAATTATGCAAATAAAGCTTTCTGTCATTTTAAAGCAACATCCAGTTGAAGTCTCTGCCTTGTCATAATGGAAGATTGCTGTCTATTACAATAATTCAAATTCGCCCAAATGACTCTCATTTTCGACTATCTCCCAAGAGCAATATCGTGAATTGAGCACGTAGCTTTGTCATCATATATAAGGCTCAAAATGGGTTGCACGAACTCACGCAGAATTGGAAATACACTGATTCTTCATCCGCAGTTCAAATCCATTGAGAACATTGTGATTCCTTTAACAGATGAACAAATAAAAATCCTACGAGAAACATGGGAAATAATCGAGCCGACCAAGAAAGAAATTGGAGTGAATGTCTACATACGGTATGGATTTCATTTATACCGCCGCTATTTTTAGGTGATCTCTCTTGGAACGCCGCCCGTTTTGCGATATTTTTACCCAATAGATATTTCATTTCGCAAAGAAACAGTACTACAGTCTAATCATAGTTACGTTTTGCCGGACATCAGTCGAGAGTAAGTCGATATATGATTACAAATAATCTATTTTCACAGCTTTATTTTATGTTCAGTGTCTTCAAGATCATGACAAAAGGACCTAGAAATTCGCCGAGTTTGGTGTTTTTAAGGAAATCTGTTTTTTTCATGCATCGGCCTAAGTTCTCCATAGTGATCATTAACAACATATATACATAATTGTATAATCGGATGTTAACACAAAATTCGTCCGTGAAGGGGTTTCCTCGCCTTCCATTACAAGGAATTTAAATTTCAAGTCAAATTGTCAAAATCAATGGCAATAACCAACGTAATAACATCACGTTATCGCTAATTGTTTGTCTTCATCGTCGTCGTTGTGTTTTTTTCTGTTTTCGTGTGAAGCCCTTCACAATTTCGCATACAGAGAATGCCAAAATGCTGTCATGCCTACTTAGGATTGTTCATTCGTTTGTTTCTGAAGTTTTTTTTTCCTTTTTCAATATCTTTGATTTTCCTCGTTAATTAATAAATTTGCCATTCGTCATGTTCCTGCATAACGTACCAAAAACGTAAATTTGAAGACATAGATGACAGTGCGTCGTAGTATAAATTGTAAAGTTTCTCATTATCCATATTTATTAGGGAGAAACTGAGAGTATTCTGCGACTTTTAAAAAATCTGATTATTCCATTACTCGACTGTTTATAATCATAATGATATTTCACGCACGTAAGATTGTTTACGCTGCAATTTACTTTTGTCAGATCAGGTAGTAAAATAAATATTTATTAACATGTTTAGATCCATGTCACTATATCACTAAGAAATGTCTCTCTAAAATCCCCAAAAATAAAATAAACAAATCATTTATCTCAGCGAGCAATGGCAATAGCGACAAATACAAACGATTAGAAACTTGAATCCCGAATTAAGAGCTCATCCACCCAACTGCATTTCCATGACTTACATTTAAAATTGTCAAATACTTGTCAACAAAACTTGGTAGTTCGTGGCTGTTACGACCTGACACCAAGTTTCTTCTCAGCCAGTTGCTCGTTGACGAGTTATATTATACAAAAGAATAATTGACAGCTATGCTGCCCAAGTTTGCTTACAAATTCTGAAAGGTATATGATCGATTCTTCGACGGAACGAAGCCCGGGTTGCCTGGCGCCATACCAGCTACGAAATATTTTTCTCAAATATCTGATAATTATTTCTATTATAGGAATTTACAAAAATGGCATCATCTTTTAAAATTTACAAGTGCGTCTGTATAACAGACTTAACTGACCCATGAAAAGCATGTATAAGTTTTCTCTCTTCACTCTCTTAAACCTAATATCAGTAAATTAAATTAGTCGTGTGTATGCACTAAACCATTCAAATAGTGAAGAGTTTGGCAGTAAATGTGCGATTACTTCGGTTTTGGGATAAACCTTATTTGGAATCAGTTCGAGGGTTGTCCAGCATCAGCAATTACGCTTTAAATCGAACAGTGATTGGTTAGCGAAAAGGAAGAGAGATGGAGTGTTTTTCGGTCGCGTTTAAGATATTTTTTTAATAATGAAATCTTATTTTGTACTCCACTTGTTACATTGAATTGACCGTGGAAGCCTGGTTACGGTTACGAGGCTAGACTTAGGCTATTTCTGTTCGGGTTTAAAAAGTGAATACTGGTCTTAAATCTGTACCTTCCTTAAGACTAAGACGCTCCGGGTAGGCCTGGGCTTAAAACCGTGGTCGGTTTCAATCAAAAATCGCCGTCAAAACTCTAAAGCATATGTATGGGTGCGAGTTTTTTTATAAGTCAGACCTAATTATGAGAATATGTGGGCACGCAAACATGCGCCTAATCCACATTGAGATCTATGACCTTTTTTTCATTTTTGTTTCTGTCAGATTCCTGAAGATGAATCCTGATATAAAATCGCGCTTCACTGAATTCAAGGAAATCTCAATTGACGAAATAAATAAAAGCAATGGTCACCCTAGAAGATTGATGGCTGCCATCGAAAACTCAATCGGTTCGCTCGATGACCCCGAGACTTTCGCTGGTTACGTGTTGGAGTTAGGAAGGAGGCATATCAGGCTACGCTCCAAACCGACGAAGTCTCATGTAAGATCCAAATAGAAACTTTCCACGTGAACTTTAAATTGGAGTCGAATAGGTGCTCATGACGTGATAATCAGATGTCTTAGTTTGAACAGGACTTGTTTTATCAACCTCGCATCTAGGGTCCCTCTCACGGGCGCGGGAAAAAGAGAGATCCTGGTAATAGAGATATTGCTGTATTAGGACCTAAAGAAAGGAAGGCTGATTGCGAAACAGACTCTAGTTCGAGAGTCAAACATGACTAATTCTCATAGATACACAAACAAAAAGTAAATTTGTTCCCTCTTGGTACTTTTTTAACGACGCTAGCTTCTGTTTAATCTATTCATCCTCTTCTGTTAAGTTCATAGATTTAAGGAAAGCGTTCATTGGTAGCATTAAAGAACCTCTCACCACCAATTGGAGACCAGAGGTAGAGGAGAGCTGGGTACTACTGTTCGACTTTATGACTGCCGTTATGATGAAAGGACTCAGTTCCACGTCCTAAAACGCATGTGTAAAAAAAGCTGCAAATTTGCAGCCAACAATCACGGACTCCTATTTATCGGCCATCGAGCGAGTAGCAGGGGCTACAAACACAATTATCAGACGCATTTTTATCTATTCGTTTAGAGACAAACTTCTGAAAAACCAAGATCACTGTAAAATGGCACGGTTTATTGTAATATTTTTAATTAAGCGCATGGGGAAAGCAATTCTTTGTTTTAAAGGAACGAGACTAAAAAGACTAAGATGATAAGCAGATTGACCACAGAAAATTTTGAGAAATTAACAATTTTATTTGAAATCCTCCCAACAATTAGGAGATAATGCATTTAACGGCATTTTAATTCAATACAACAGGAGCGTAGCTGATTTGTTGAATACAAGCACACCTGGACTAATTAAGCGCAATTGGGATGACGTCGAAAAACCAATCTCCCACCCCACCCCGTTCCGACTCAACAAAAAACAACACCTATAGGGTAGCGGAAAGTCTAGGGTAAACATGGCTTGCGTATGATCACGTCCTTCACGATCAGCACCTTTATCATTATCGACCTAGAGAACTCAGAGTCAAGTTTAATATAACGGCCATCATGTATATAAATCAGACGATCATATTGAATAGAGCGTTCACTTGAGTGACAAGCCGGTCAAACCTCTAGAATGCACAAAGAGATAAATTTCGGCTGGCCTCGCGCCAATTCCCCCCCCCCCCCCCCAAAAAAAAAAAAAAAACAAATTTCCGAGGAAAACGTAAGAAACAGCCGCTATCATGCAGAATATAGGGGGGGAAGAAAGAGCGTTTATAGAAATCTTTGAGAGGGAGCAAAAGTAAAGAAGAGTTTATTTGATTACAGGTATCCCGTTGCATGTTGATTTACCATTCCGATTTGAGGTTTATCAGAAAAGTTATACGCTTTTGAAACACCGTGACTGACTGGCTTGCATAATTGTTTGTACCTCGTGTGAGACAACTTGGTTCTGACAACCTGAAGGCACGCCACCTAACCACTACAATGTTCCCACATGCGCACACGTTTGATCGCTGTGTCCGCGTGGGTATGTATGTATAGGTCAGCCACGCCCCTGAATAAATACAGTCATTGAGCCATCGAGCTGGCACTCATCGAAAAACATTGACACCAAAAAAATTACAAGTAACGACTATTGAAAATATTTAGTTGACCTCAACTCATCCCTTCTTGGTTGACGTTAACAGTTTTATACTCTGCTTGTATACTTGAATCATTCAGAAATTGTGCCAAATAAATAAAAACCAAGGAAGGTATTTACAAAAATTTTTCACTTGTTTGTTTCTTCTCCAATAAGATGTCTCCCTAAGAAGGACTTTATTCTACGCTTGGTCCATTAAGTCTAACAGTTCGTCACCTTTTTCACCTAAGCAAGTAAGAACACAGATAAGCGTTGCTTCAAATAGTTTCAGGCCTCAAAACTTTTTGCATAAAATTCCTTAATGAAACATTAACGCCAGTAAATTGTTCAACTAAGGCAATGAAGTCTAATTTTTTTAAAAATAACTATACCTTAAGTTTCATAAAATAATAAGCAAGGTATCAAAGAATCAAAGAGAAGGACACTTCTCTGAACTACAAAAAATAATTTGTTATAAGGAAGCTATATGACAACGGAGTTTTCCGAGTTTTAATTTGCCAAAGTACGATAATTCATAGCTTACTTAATCATTCGGACCCTTCAAACTCTTGGGACCAGGGTTCATGGAGGCCACAACTACAAATACTCAAAGATCTTCCTTAATTTTTGTTTACTGATCTATTTTCCCTGAAAATCAAAATCAAAATTGAAACTTACGCTCTCCAGATCCTTCAATTGAAAATTCATTCATAAGATTAGCCAGTTCCTTCCTTTGCGCCTTCTAAAATAGTAAGGAAATATACACTACAAATTAAAAAAATGTACCCTTTCTCGTTTATTTTATATGACAATTTTGAGTTCCGTAACTGCATGATTATGAATAACGACTGTTAGGAAACAGAAATACGCTTTTAATGATATGACTGATTCCGAGAGCCGACAAAACGGAGTCAATGGGACAGGTTAACAACTGGCGTTTGAATGAGATCTCATATGTGCATGAAGACCAATCCTGGATAAGCAAACTCAGCTATTGATCACTTAACATACGGAAGTATTTGAAACAGACTTTTGACAAAATAATGGGGATAACTGATCACCAAAAAGACTGCGTGCCTGGCATTACCCATCACCCGGTCACCACATCTTATCATGATTATTTCATAAAATAGAATGGAGCAGTTTCTTGGCCACACTTGCCTTAGTAGCATCAATTTTGATGACTCTGTGAGGAGCTTCTTTGTGAGTTTGGATGGCTGCTTGCCTATAAAAATTAAAAAAACAATGATCAGTTATCCGTGAAGAATATTTAATATCTGAGAGGGAAATAAAGCAAGCTTCCAAAGTCAGTTACAAGCCTAATGGGCCATTACTTCCTTACAGCTTCTGGTTTCCACAACATTAAGCATGTTGACACAGAAAACTAAAGGCGGTCTATGACTGTATGTGCGTACTGTTGTATAGTTGTAGAGTATTACGGTAAAAGAAGTACTGTGGTGTAAAATGCAGAGGAGTTAACGAACAGCAGTCAATGTCAAACTTGAGACGAAAGTCAGACTGCGTACCTGGCGCTACGGAGAAACCTACTCCTCCAAAGTCCGAAGGTATATGGTTCGAGCCCTAGCCGCGCCGACTCTTTTCTGTCTTTTTCTTTTTTTTCCTTCTCTTTTTTTTTTTTTCATTTCAATTTACATTCTCCTTCAAAGGATATTTTCAGAGTAATCGCTCATTTGCGAACATTTGACGACGAAGCTCTTTTTGTTGTGTTGTGTCTGGTTTCCACAACATGAAGTATGTTGACACACAAAAAAGGAGTACCCAAAATAGATGTCTTAATCTTGTCACCTGTTTGGAACTCAACTTCCTTGAATCAAACCTCAGACCTTAAAAGTCCTGATGTTTTTCCATAAAGCTGCATAGAACTCTATGATGAACTAGGCCATTTCTTAGTTCACATGTGACTGTTTTATTTCCTTACAAGATGCTTTTGATATATCTGATTCTCACAATGTACAGGAAGCTTTTCCCAAATGACAATATGTGACTATCAATTCTTAAATAAGTCCATTAAAAATTATGGATCAATTATCTCCTAATTACTTCTTGAAAATTGCAAGATGATTGACTTACTCTTCTTCTTCATCTGTATTGAAGAGATTTAATCTAAACTGATCTACAGAACAAAATGAAAATACCAGTAAGTATGTCATACAATCATGATTTCAATTCCATGTCCGTCCACAAGGAGTTATTAGAAACATGCGACTTACTCTCTGGCTTTTTACTTGATCCTCCAACAAGATGAGCTAAAAGATTGAGCTCAGCTTTTGCAAGGGGATTCGGGTTACCTTGTGGTTCCTGGAAAATTTACAGAAGTGATCCATGTCAAAACAGAAAGCAAGGTTCTCCATCTACCCTCCTCCCCCACCCCCACACACACCCATTTATGGTGATGGTGATAGGGCCATAGGCCACAACCCTTTGCAAAGTAAGCTGAGTTCATTGTTAGAGTCATACCTGTGACCAACCCCTCCCCTCTAAAACAATGTTACTAAAAGATGCTTTTAGAAGGAGTGTCAACATTCTTGAAACTGGTTGAACATGTAGCTTGTACATCTGAAGGTTACAGTGGCATCAATCTGACTTTCCAGCACTTCAGTACTTTGACAAAAGGGCAAAGAAGCATCTAAACAGGAAGTTCTTTGCATTTCATTTACTATCCTGTAGCTGTATTAATTTATAATAATGGTTGATTCCTGGAATCAGAGGGTCATTTGTTTCCTTCTTTCACTCCCAAAAGTGATTAACATGAGACTTATCCTTACAAAATTCATTCATTATCCAGCAAAGGGCATATGAGAATACCCAAACTTATCAGGTAGAAGTTGTTATCTGGATCTAATACCAAATTCACCCAACTTATTGCCAGGAATTGTGTAAAAGCTGTAGGGGAGAAGTAACAATCAGATATATGAGGACGAAATATCTCAGATCTCTTCTTTAGATGCAACCTATTCTATCCAACAATTCCAATAAAGTAAATAAATCCAAATATACAAACCCACCAATGTTGAAGCAACAGATACAGTGCTCCCTGGCACTTTCTTTGCTGAAGCAGAAGGGGCCATGCTGGCTGCTGGTGCAGGACTACTGGTTACTGTGTCTACTGTTTTAGAAGCTGTGTACCTGGAATAAACAACAATAATGACAAAAAATCAAATTAGGTATCTTAATCTTAACTCTTCAACTCCCAAGATGTGATTGTTAATTCTCCTCTCTAGCTGCTACACATTTCCTTGAAAATTGGTTACAAGAATTTGGTGTTCGATCAAAGTAATATCTTATACCTGATGAGTTTGAGTATTCTCATTACCTGTTTGCTGGATAATGTATGGATATTATAGGGAGAATTTACATGTTAATCACTTCTGAGAGTTTAAGGGTTATATACTTTTTTACACTGCCTCAAACATTTAGGAATATATCACAACAGCTGAATAATAGAATCTAATCTGCCTGCTTACATGTTACTTCCAAGCTTTATCACTCGATCTCCTAACAGTTCAAAAGATCCTGGCTTGTCTGGGAGCTGATGACGGCATCCTGTCACAAAATGACTTGTTCTTGAGATTTGTCCCTCAGCATTAAAATACCTTAAAAATAAAATAAAATAAATTATCATGGCTTGTAAGGAGAATCAAAAGATGATTTGTTAATTTAACTCATATAATGGAAAAAAAAAACCAACAAATTTTTATCATCACCTGATTGACCCAGGGACTTCAGTATCCCAGGGGACGGCTCCATCAGCTGGTAAAACAAATTTTCCATTTGCATTTTGAACTTTGTCTTTTAAGAAAATTGAAACCTATCAAATAAACCAGAATAAAGAGCTTGGAAACTGTAAAACACAACCACTGCTCACAAAGCATATGGCACAATTAAAGATTTAACCCTGACAGGAACATTTGATAACATACTGTGATCATGGTGTAGATTTAAAAGGTGCATGAGAGTGTTCAAAGCATTTCCCTGACCCCAATTAGT